TGTCCTTCCCTAATTTACATTCTTTATCCTTGAAAAACGTAGTTCAACTTCAAACCCATTATACCTCCCCCTTGTATATAAATTGTTTGCTGGGTTATTTACACATAAATTGTTTGTAGCTTTAATGTTATGTTTCTTCTGACATTTAAGGGGAGTCGGCGTTTGCCATTCTTCACATACGAACATAAATATTTCATGTTTCACTTCACAACGAAAAAAAAGAGAGAAAAAAATTGAAAAATAATGTCTTTCCATTCAATACAACTTTGTATGCACAACAAATAATGATAACAGAAAACAACAAAAACTACAACAGCAACAACGTCAGAAAACCGGCCGTGTATCCATGTGTAAAATTACTCCTTTTTTCTCAGTTTGTTATTGTCCACACTGATTGGATAACTGGATGTTGGTTGGAGAGAAGTTGATGCTATGATGTTGCTGTCAAAAACAATAACAGCAACAACAACAACACTACAATTTGTTGTTGATGGTGATGCCCGGTGTCGTTGTACCCAAAACACAAAAACCAAAACGGAAGTTATTAACTTTATACATCAGAAATTGTTGTTGTTGCTGTTGTTGGAGCAACAAAATAGTTAAGCTAGCAAGCAAGACCACTAGGCGAACAAATAATACAAATTAATTATATCTGATGCATAACTTGTTTGAAACAACCAACGCATAGCTATGTAGTCACATGTCATACCAAAATGATTTTGAATGCAGCTGAAAACGGTTATGATTGATTTTAATTGAAAACGAAACTGGAAGAGAAATTAGAATAAAAATAGGAAAAAAAGCTGACATTGATTAATGCATAAACAAATTAGAACTTATATAGATAAATAAGCAGCTATGTCTGGTTAAACTCTTAATACCCCCTCACCATTTAGAAGGAACCAGCATTATGTAAAATTCGTTGAAATATGGCCCTAAAAAATTCCGAATATCAGGTGTTAATGTTATATTGGGGCTATACGAAAATGTGGACCAGTATAGTCAATTATCTTCCGGAAAAGGTGAAGCTTTTACAAATTCCGAATGCCAAATAATTATGTTGAAAAATGTCGCTAAAATCAAGGCGTCCATATGAAGATGTGGGCCTGTGTGGGCAATTTTTTATTATAGGTATTAGTAGACATTCCAAATTTGAAATAACTCGGGTGACGTGAACCTTCATATGAAATTTTACGAATTTCAAATACCGAATATCAAACAATTCCGGTGAAAAGTGTAACATCAGAATGTCGAAAATCTGACGGTACAGTTATATGGGGTCTATAGCAAAACCTAGACAGTTCTATGCAAGGATATTTCCTACTTTCTGGGAACACAAAGTGACAATTTACAATAAATTCGGATTAAAATTGTAACTAAAACAACAAAAGCACCTAAAGTCTGTCAGTATAGTTATGTGGGGTCTATACCAAAACGTGGTCCTGTATGGCACATTTCAATACCAAACAATTCTACGGATCTATAACATATTTGAGTAAAATTTTATAAACCTACTTTATTTCGTTCAGAAGCTAGAGTTATTTCCACAGACCGAAAGGCAGACAGAAAGACTGATAGGGCTATATCGACGTAGAATTTTAAACTGATAATATACTTTGTGAAATATACTTTGTTGTGCCTAAAATGGATATTTGGAGCCATTACAAACGGAATGGAATGTGCAGGGTACAAAAAGGTACGACTTATGATATAAAATAAAACTGAATCTGGAAATGTTCCTTCCTTGGCATAAAACCAACGACTCCACTTAGAATTTGACACACCATACCAAATCAATTGGGGACAAGAACCGTTACATGGGAGTTGTATTGACATATATACAGGGTGATATGAAAAAATGCAACCAAATTCAGACTGCTGTCATTTCTAAGCCACTTGTCCGACAGCTCTTTTAATTATTCCAGTGACAGCTTATTATATTGTTTACACGGGTACAAAAGCATTTTGGCGAGAATTTTCCAGAAAAAAAAAAATATTCGTGACGGAATTCAAGCGTGATAGTGCGATTTCTTTATATTTGATTAGAAAACCACAAGTGGCTATCGTTAGAGCACTACAGCATTGAAATGTGAACAAATATTTTGCGTCTCGTACCATCGCTCGTTACCGTGATACTAGTAGCGAAGCCCGACGTCAAAGAAGTGGACGGAAGAAAACAGCAACACCAACCGGAATGGTTAAAAAAGTAAATAAGTGACTTGATAAAACCCCCATCGCAGTGGACGAAAAATGGCTCGTGAGCTGAATATATCACAATATTCCATTCGGCAAATATTGAAAAATGAGCTCGGGGTAAAGCCTTTGAAATTCCAAAAAATGCAGGAACTTACACCGCAACAGAAAGAAAATAGACACAAAAGAGCTAAAGAGTTGCTTCGCTTGGCTTGGAAAGTGGTGAACTGGCAAATTTGGGTTTCTCCGATGAGAAAACATTCGTTGTCCAGCAGTTTATAAACAAACAAAATGATCGTGATTACTTGCCAAAGAGGTCAGCGGAAAATGTGCACCTTTGGTTGGCCACCAGAACTCAAGTGCTGGCCATGGTGATGGCGTGGGCCGCCATAACAGCTGATGGTCGCTCTCGGCTCGTATTAATCGACCGTGGCATCAGAACAAATGCCTAATATTATCGGAAAAATATTCTGGAGGGTGTATTAAATCTTTGGGCACGCAAACATTAAAGCCTTGGGCACGCAAACATTAAAGCCTTGGGCACGCAAACAGACCTTGGACATTCCAACGGGACTTAGCACCATCGCACTCAGCACTCGCCACCCAAGAATGGTTACTAAACGAGGTTCCTCGCTAAATTTCCAGCGCACAATAGCCACCAAAATCTCCGGATACCAATCCATAGGACTATTGTATCTGGAGTATTTTGGAAAGCAAGGTTGGCACTAAAAAATACTAAAGTGTCGATCACCTCAAGCAAGCGCTTCGTCGGTAATGGACCAAAATGCTGCAGAGCAACATTCGAGCAGCGTGTGACGGTTTCATTGGCCATTTAAAGGTCATAATTCGTGCCAAAGGCGACCAATTCGAACAAATCTAAACTTATTCTAAAATTTGATGCTATTTCCGACATATTTTACTTTCATTCTATAAAATTTACGACAAAACTGTAAAAATTATGGCTTTTGACTTTGTTGCAGTTTTTTATCTCACCCTGCATATTAAATCTATATTCCCAAGCTATCTTAAATAATGCATAAATCGTATCTATTATCCAAATAGGATAGATAGTATACCCCCTTCTTTCCCAAACCCAATTTGCATTGCACATATAAAATGCATTCGCCTCATTATTCTTTCTCATTTACATTTATTTACTGGCAACCAAGGCTTTGACATTCTGTGAGAAAATTGCTGTTATAAATTTGCAAACAAATAAAAGTGAAACTCGTTTATAATAAATCAATAATAAACTGCCAGCAAATATTTGCAATAATAAATTCACACTTTGGCGGATAGATGGAGGGCAATAACCAAATGTAGAGAGACTTTTCAATTTCATTTTCCAACAAAGGAAGAAAAAAATATGTATGTGATACCAGAAAAACTTGTATCCTAAGCACTGGGGAAAAATTAAAAAAAAAATAAAAAAAAATGGAAAATGGAAAATTGCAACAAAAAAAGGAAACTGTTATTGGAAACATTGTCTTATATAATTTGTTTTATAAATTTCATAATTCCGTTGGCTCACAAAAGCCATAGATTTATGCCACACAAAAAGGTCATCCTTTGTGGCTGGCAGGAAAGCAGGGAGTCGAGAGGGGATGGAAGGGTGCTTGGCCAAAACAAGTTAACAACTGGCTTGCATGGAACTTTCGCTTATTCAATGTGACAAAGAAACAAACGAAGACAAAAACGGAGACTTCGTAAAGTGCTAAATATTGTCATAGCCAAAAAGAGTACAACATGCTGATGTTGGATCATGGCGATGTTATGTTGCCTGCCAGCATGACTGCTTCGCTGGCTGTCCCAAACACTTTTTGTGGCTTGTATGAATAATAGTAATATCGGATAATCGTTTAACGTCAAATGTCAAAAGTTTTGAAGACATTTTGCCGGGGTAAAATAAAAATAATAACTTTATGCCACAAACGAAAAAAGGCTACAAACTGGAACTCTTGGCTTTTGTGTAGGGAGGAGGAGGATTTGGGGAGGATTTTGAAAAAATATGTTTACATTATTTACTTAGCCTGTCGACTGACTAACTTCTTTTTTGATTTCGGTTTGTTTCATTTCTGTGGGCAGACCAACCACTTGTTTGTCTGTTTGGCTGTCTGCTGCCAAAGAAAAAAAAATTGTTGCCATTTACCCTGCCAGACGACCAACTGTCTGCCTGCCTTTATGTCTTTGCTATTTCAAACGGTGTAACTAATCGCACAACCAAACTACACGGTTCAGCGATTTGTTGAATGTAAATAAAAAAAATATGATAAATATCCACAAATAAACAATGTTTTCGCTTTGGTTTCCCCCCAAAGGAGATGTTTCTGCAAATCTTTATATGTAGGCCTTATATTTAGGGAAATGCCAAAAAATTGAGAAAATTTTTAGATGTAAAGTTAAATAAGTTAAGTTTTTATTTTAAGTTTAAAATTCAATAAAAAAAGAAATATGTCCTCGATTCAATGGGTTTCAGCAACAAGGCCGGAACTTCAGTTTGAAAAGGATTTTTCGTTTGCCACAGCAACAATATGCTTTCAGATCCGGGCTGTCGTCCTTGGCCGAGTACAATTACACGATTTGGCCGAGACTCAACTTAATCTGTCTCAACATTGAATACGTCCCGAAATCAAAATCTCTCTTTAAGGGTAAGGGAGTTAGTAGACCTTTAAAAAATAATCAGGGTATATTATCATACCTTTTTTTCTCAGAACCAATGTTGTAATCCATTTACAAAACCATATTTATTTTTTAGTTCACTATTCTGACTTGTAATCTCATATTCTCTTTTTTCTATTTCTTTGCAGCAACCCGCACTAATAACAACACCAATGATCGCGTCTCCGGTAACTTTAAAACAATTGTATACAAATATTTAAGAAATATATCAACAAACAAACCATTAAATTGGTTAACTCTTATACTAATTATTCTAATAAAACTGGAATATAATAAACAGCAGCAAAATGTTGGATCGATGTGAAATGCCGGTAAGTAAAAAAAAAAAATATTTTTCAATTTTTTTAATAATCAGAATAAAATTAATCATAAGTCGCCTGGAAAGGTTTTCTGTTTATAAAATACATTTAGAAAAGTATTCTATTTTTTAAAGACCTCTTAAAGACCATGTTTTAATATAATTAAAAGACCCCGAAAAAAAAATCGATCATATAAAAAAGACTGTATTAGAATTTGTCTTGGAAAAGGGAATTTTGAAACTGAGAGATTCGTCCTAAATCTCTCCAAAAAACTCTCAATCTATAAAACATCACTGAAAATGTTTCACATCCGCCGAATATATTTTTAAGAATCCCCCTCTAGCTTCATTCTTCTGTAGCAAAACCCTCAAAAACTTAGTCCTAAAAATCTCCTTTCACTTCAACGCAAAGCTCCGATTTACTCGATATTAAATGCCCATCTATAGGAGAACTAGTAAAGCATTTACAGGGTTGCCCATATTCGACGGACCCATCTGGCAACGCCATAACTTTTGACAGAGATGTCGCATCGCTTAATGACATACCGCGTTTGAAGCGTCAGTCAAAGCAGATTTTTACCATGAACCAATACACGTCATTCAACAGAAGAAGTCAATTTTGAAAACACAATGTGATTTTAAAACATTAAAAAATGTGAGAAGTGCGCCTTCTAAGAACACCATTAAGCGTTTATACGAAAAATTTTCGACTGGTAAGGCTCTTTTTAATCCGAAGAGGCCATATAAAAGTCGACCAAGGCGATCGGCCGAGAATATCGCTGCCGTACGAACCAGTGTTGAGAGGTCCCCAAGAACATCCCAAAAACGCCGTTCTCAGCAGTTGGGCATGGATCGGTCCACTTTACAACGGATTATTCGCATTTATTTGCATTTGTTCCCGTACAAAATTCAATTGACGCAAAGAATGTTGCCTGCGGACAAGCCTCGTCGATTGGAATGGGCCCAAAAAAAACATGGGTCCGTCGAATATGGGCAACCCTGTATGTGACTTATTTTTCTATCTTTAATAATGCTTCTACATGCCGAAGATGTTTTCCAACTTCTTATACTCCTAAAAGCTTTGTGCCTGGTTTTGGGGCCGTCGTTAGCACTACGATATCTCATCGATAGTTTATTGACAGTCGTCGATTACTGAATAATATCTCATTGATAACTGGTATATAGCTACTCGGTAGTTCACGGGTACCACTTGAAATGCTTGCGGATAACACGACTATGGTTCATTGATAGCACGTCGATAGCTAATTATTAGATATTTAATATGTCGTCTGATCGATAATTGGTCAATAGATCCCCAATTTCTCATCGATAGTCAAAGAGATATTAAAAGTTGGTCAGAAGCTGAGTGATAATTCGTTCATAGCTCGACAAAAGCTAGTTGATTTCGTCAACGTCGATGTCCCATCGGCAGCTAGTCAAAAGAGAATCGATATCTCTTGAAAAAAACTTTTTGAAAACTCGCTACTAGGTAGTTATTTGTTGTCCATTAGCATGTCGATAACTTATGAATATCTGGAGGATATAATGTCGATAGGTATTCGATAGCTCGTATTCAATTTCTCACCGATACTTAGTAGATTGCCTGCAGCTCATCGAAACCGTTTGGCGATGCGTTATCAACGATTGGCAAAAGCTAATAGTTGGCTCTTCGGTATCCCAATGGTAACTCATTCATAACTCGTACAAAGAAAGTCGATTGTTGTACAATAGCTAGCCAAATGGTTGTCGATAGTCCACCTATAGCTCTTCATTTATTCCTGGTCTCCCATCAATCAACAGTCGATGGCTCCCCAATAGCTCTTTAGCTAGTTGAAAACTTGTCGATAGCTCGACAGTACCACCTCGATAGCATACTTTATTAGGTCATTACGAGCTCGTGATTAGCTGCTGGAAAGCTCGTTGATAGAACATCAAGGCTAGTTAATATATCATCGAAATCTTGTCGACAGCTTTGGTCTGTTCCAAAACTGTAAAATGTAAAAAACTTCGACAACCGATTTCCCTTTATGATATTGAAGAAATTGCAAAAATAGTAGATTCTTGCAGGTTATGGAACAAAGCACTGTTGGTTAAGCTAATCGACTGTACATCGATACCTAGTCGATATATCCACAACCGTTTGCAAATGGTTCATCGAAAGCTCATCTCTATTTTATCGATAGCTAATTGATATTACATTCATAGGTCGTTTAATAGCATTTCGATGAGCCGTCGAAAGTCTCCTTAAGAGGTAATTGATAGCTAGTTGACAGCTCGGAAATACCATATATATAGCTCTGCGCGAACTTATTGGTAGCGCGTCGATAACTCGGCAATAGCTTGTCCATGGCACGTATGTAACTCATTAAAAGCTCAACAATAGAACCTCAATATTTAGTAGATACCGCATCGATAATTTGTAGATAGTTCGTTTACTGGACGTTGTGGACCTATTTGATAGGTCCTCAATAGTTCGTCGATTTTCATCGACAGTAACTCGTTGGATCGTCGCTAGTTCATGAATGGATCACCTATATAACATTCACAGGTCATTGATAGCACTTTGATGGGATGTTGATAGTGTCCTTAATAGCTTCTAGATAGCTCGACAATATTTTGTCGATAGTTCGGGGATAACGTATAGAAATCTTGCCGATAGTACATCAATAGTTGGTGAATTAGTTATCGTGATCTCACTGAAACTTTATCGATAGCTTACCGATATCTCATATATAGATCGTTGACAGAACTTTAGTGGATTCTTAATAGCTCATAAGTATTCGTCTATAGTTCATTTATTCGTGTTATAGCTCTTCGATAGCCCCTCGAAATCTCATCAGAACTTAGTTCGTATGTCGTCGATAGCTCGCCGTTAAATCCACATCACGTAAATAGCTCACTGATAGCGCCTTGAATCGAAAAAAAAAATGAAAGCGAAACCTTCGGTTTCGAACGAATTCAACCATCCTGTACTTTTTCATGTCTTCTAAATTCTAAGAACTGTATCGCTGGTAACCATTGCCTTTGCCATTATGCCACGGTTAATATCGGATCGAATCCATAAATTTAAAACCTCATAAGGTCGAAAATTCCGGTCTGCATTAAAGAGAAGTCTCTCTCCGCAGTTGCTAGGAACATTTTATTTTTAATTGTTGCCAAGTACTTGCGATGTTTTAACTACGGATTTTTTGGGACAACCTCAAATTTCCTCTAAATCCTCACATCCCAATCCTCATTTCAAATATCCAATCTAAATGCAAAGGTGGCCCAACATTTAGTATAACTTCATTGTCAGAACGTCATTAAAATTCTGCTAATTCCGGTATTAGCCAAAATAGTTTCGCTGATAACGTCATTTTGGACTAAATTGATGATTTAATACTTCTTCTCCTAATTTGCCAAGTTTAATAGAGTTCTTTACGGTTTATGCAAAAAAAAAAAACGAAGCACAAAGCGCTTGCACGTTTCTAATGACTTTGGCAAAGTTTCTATTTCCTTGAAAAAAAAAAAAAAAAAAAAAACAAAGCAAAATAATGTGCAGAATTTTAGGCTTAGTTAACCTTGTTGAACATAGTCTACTTGTGGGCACGTGCCTAACATATGTTGCTACGTTTTTTCCGAAAAGTTTTATTATTATTTTGACATTGACATTCAAAAAAAATTATTTGTAGTTTAATTGGTTCCCACAATTTCTATGTGTTGTATGGAAAGAGGATTAATGAACGTTTTTTTTTTATTTTTCTTATAATATTTAATTATAGCCTACTTTTAGGGATACAACCAAAAACATGTGTTGCAAGTTGAAAACACACAATTTTGAGGTCATACAGAATGGAAGTTCGTTTTTAATGACCATGAACTGAAACCATAATTCCCATTTACATTCCATGACAATAATAGGAGAATTTTCAGACACATTTCCTTCTTCTATAAAACAGATACTGATGACTGTATCTGTCAATCTTGAAACCCCCTTGTAATCTCTGAAATCAATTTGTTTTCCATCCACACTAATCCAGGAAATATTTCATACAAATCCAAAATCTGATTCATTTCTTAACCTCATTCTCAGGTTATTTCATAGAAAGTTTTATTTTTTAACAAAAAAAAAAAAAAAAAAAAAAAAATAATAATAAAATGAATCAATCTTTTCTCTTCACTTCCAGGTTCAGATCGACAACGACAAATGTCGTCGTGATCGTGATGCACGTCTCTCCAATTCACGTATCGATTTGCCCAATCTCTGTAATGGTGGCACAACACGTGGCTCCTCGCGCAATCATCATCACTCGAATGGCCATCATCATACGTCACAAATGCAACAGCAGCAGCAGCAAAGTTCACATCGCAGTCCATCGAATGACAATCTAAATAATATCAATAACAACAACAACAATAATAATAGCAACAACAACCATAATAACAATAATCTAGGTTCACCCGTCTCCTCAAATACTGTATCGTCACATGGCAACTCATCGAGCGGAGAAAGGGGTTCGTCCACAAAATCGAACAGCAGTACGGGCAGTGGCAATTCGGGCAGAGATGAAATGAAATGTATAACACCCATGACACCATCAGGTAAGCAGCAAAAGCCAATTTTTTTGCTATGTACATAAAACAAAGTACGCTTTTAGGCTTGAGTACCTAAAAGCATGCTTTAGTTTTTTTAATGCTAACACTATTCGCCACGTTTTTTTTTGTTTTGGTTTTTGAATTTCACATTTCATGCATAATAGTGTTGACTTTTTGACGTTGTATTTACACAGCAGGCTGCTCGGTGGCTGTTTCACAATTCAATAAGGCCAAGGCCATAATGCGTATAAACCATTTTTTGTATGCCTAACAGCTCCATTTAGAAAATGTCACTTCACAAAGTTTATTAAAATACAAACAAAATCTCTATGTATTCATGCCAAAAGGCAATCTTGCCAAGTGAAATGTCAAGTATTAATTAGGGGGAAAAATGTGAAAATACAAAAACAAACATAAAGAACGAACGAAAGAGAAAAAATAAACTATGCTAACAAAATTCAACGCAAAACCAGATCTGAAAGCCTACTTTAAGGCGTAATTATTTAATATGTTTTTTCGTTATTTTTTTTCCAGAACTTGTTAAAAAATACAGTAACTATTTGACTGACATGGAATTCGAAGAACTCAAAGTCTACAAGGAAATTTGGTATTTTGGCCAAAATGCCAATAAGAATTACTCCAATAAGCCTGCAGCTTCCACAACCAATTCGGGTTATGATGATGAGTTGGGAAATTACAAAATTGTAAGTTGGAAACAAAAACCTATATAAACTTCATTCAAAATATCCTCACCTGTTCTCGATTACAGATTGAACATGATCACATCGCCTTTCGTTATGAAATACTCGAAATAATTGGCAAAGGTAGCTTTGGCCAGGTCATACGGGCCTTGGATCACAAGACCAACACCCATGTGGCCATAAAAATCATACGCAACAAGAAACGTTTTCTCAATCAGGCTGTGGTTGAGTTGAATATTCTGGATGAATTACGGGAAAAAGATGCCGACGGATCTCACAATGTTATACATATGCTGGATTATATGTATTTTAGGAAACATTTGTGCATAACTTTTGAACTGATGAGGTGAGTTGGAAAAATTTGTATAACAGTTTTTTAAAAGGAAAAAATATCAAGCATTTAAAGGTGTTATGGGGACGGTTTTATAATTTTTTAAAGATTTTTATATATTTATTTTGCGTATTATAAAAATAACATAATTTTTTCCCTAAATGATAAATTTCTAAAACAAATATGAAAATTCACCATGCCTGAAAAGCATTACAGTCTGCAGCTATAGATACAATGTTGATAAATTTCGCTTCAGAATGCCACTTTTTATCATTTCCACCAAAAAACCAGGTGTGGTGAATTTCTACAAAAATTCACCACGGGCCCAAAATTACACAAAAAGCCAAAAAATCATCTTCTTTGTTAATTAAACACAAAAATATGTTTTTTTTGTGATTGTTGAATATATCATAGGGTGGTGAAATACCCATTTTATTCCCCTCAGGAAAATTGTTCATGAAAAACTAAATGATGTTTTATTCTATGCGTCATAAAGAATTGAAATTGTGTTTTTGAATGATGTTAGTCAATTATTTAATGGTAAAATTGATATTCAAGATCAAAATATCCATTTTTGAAACTGGATCTTTTTAACGAATACAAAAAACTTCATATCGCCTAAAAATCGTCCTAAGTTGAAGGTAAAGGTACAATTTTATTAAAGTTAGCATTCCAAATGTCATTTTGCGTTGTATGCAACAAAAAGCTGGGTGTGGTGAATTTCTACAAAACTCACCACAGGGTGGAAATTATTCGAAAACCCAAAATAACAACTTCTTTGTTAATTAAGCACAAAAATATTTTTGTTTTGTGGTTTTTTTATGATATCATAGGGTGGTGAAATACATTTTTTGCTTCACCTCGGTACAATTTTTCATGAAAAATTAATGTATATGTAATTCTATGCAGTTCGAAAAATAATAACTTGTTTGAAAGTTTTTTAGTAAATTATTTAATGGTGAAAAAGCTATTCTGAATTAAATGTTTATTTTTGAAACTGGAAATTTTTTAATGAAAAAAGTTAAATTTCACCATGGCTAAAAATCATCTCGACTTGGTGCTGAAGGTCCACTTTGAATTAATTGTGGTTTCAATTGCCTCATTAAGTCATTTGCAACAAAAAACTAGGTGTGGTGAATTTCTACAAAACTCACCATGGGATGAAAATTATTCGAAAACCCAAAATAGTAGCTTCATTGCTAATTAAACACAAAAATATGTTTCTATTGTGGCTATTGAAGATATCATAGGGTGGTGGAATAACCAATAAGGCCACCTCAGTCCAGTTTTTTTACGAAAAAATTATATTTATGGAAATCTGTGTATTTAAATTGCATTTTTATTATTTTTTATTTTATGAAAAAAAAATAAAATTTAGAGTGGTATATTTGTTAAAACATAAATCCGACCAAGCTCTATTTAACTTTCCAAAATTTAATTTAGTCAATGGTAGTCCTGATAAGTATATATGTTAAGTTCCGTAATAGGAAATAAACTTTATGATATATAGGAAAAAATAAGATTGTTTAATAGGAAATTAAGTTTCACCACGGTGGACGTACTCCTAAACTATGCCTACAATATTAGGTATACCAATTTCGGCCCTAAAATGTGTTCTTGAGTGAATTATAACAATAAAATAGGTGTGGTGAATGTCAAGAAAAACTCACCACAGATCAAAGTTGTAAAAAATGGATTAAAAAAAATCTGCGTTAAAGGAAAAACAAAAAAAACGATTTTGGTCACTACTAGAGTAACCTGATGGCGGTGAGAAACTTATTTAATTCACCTCGGTCCAATGTTAATTAGTTCCTAGTTTTGCATAATTTTAAAACAAAATGTGCTGCATAGTTTTAGGATGAATTCATAATAATTTACAACTTACCTCTTTTTGTAGTGAAATTTATAAGTTTCTGTATATCCTAAAAGAAAAACAAAAAAATACAAAAAGTTAAACTCATGATTCTCAGCAACAAAAAATAAATATTTGTTAAAATCATTAAAAAACCTCCCATTGGAAAATCGTCAAAATGTCATAATATACCAATAAACAAGACAATAGCAACAACCACAACAACAGTGAACCCCCGTCCCTGAACGTACGACAGTAAATGAGCCGTCTGAATACAGGCATTTTTTCGTTGTTGCCTTCATAGTTCCGCCTTTTTTGTGCATTCATAATATTATTAAATCTGCATTATGGCTGACTGAAAAAAAAAAAACAAATATATATATATGGGAAAAGGGGCCACACATAATAAGGCAATCGACCCAGACCCCCAACCCCCGCCTTGTTAAGCACAAATACAGCCAGTCTAACCCACAAACGACATGCAATATCGGCGTAATACATGAACTTGAATTTCTTAGATACCCTCTTAAGTTTACCATTGAATTTCTAATTTGATTTTTGCCCCGGGAAATGCAAGTGCAAGAAAGGGTTGGAAAAGAGAGAGAGAGAGGGGGGGGAGGGAATATGACAGTAACCACTAACACATAACATGCAAAATGTGGTGTTTTTGGCCCTTGTAGTGGGTAACACAATAAAGGGAAAATTATAGATATTTTTTCTGATGACGTTAAAGGTTTTCTTTCCTATCTCATTGTCATAGAGCCGGCATGCGACAGCCAACAACCCCTTAAAAATAGGTTTTGATTTCTCTGATAAATTTATTGGAAAACAAATTTTGGAAAATAAAGAACAAAGCACAGTGGAAGGAAATGGGTACCAAAGGGAAGGAAATATTGGTAACCCAAAGTATAGGCATCTGTAGGGGGCATTAAGACAAGTTAAATAAGAGGGACTTATACCGGATACCGTAGTATTTTGTTGTTGCAAAGTGGTCAGGCTTAATCCCTTATTTGCGATATTTAAAAATATTTTGTGATATTTTCTTGTTTTTATTTCAACAGGATGTGGACCTGAAAATAAAAATTCACCATGCCTACAAATTGCTTTCTATCACTTTTATAAGACCCATCTTTCCGTCTTAAGTTAAAAACGACTTATTTTACGATTTTCAACAAAAAAATAGGTGTGGTGAATTTTCCTCAAAAACTCACCACAGGCTAAAAACTTCAAAAAAGCCCAGAAGGCGCACATTTTTTCTTAATTAATTCAAAATTAATGTGTTTTACAATATTTACGGAATGCATTTGGTGGTGAAATACACTTGAAGTTCACCATGAAGTATTTTTCAGCAAACAACTTCAACTAATTCAAACACTATTCCTTCCATATGCGGAAAATTATCTTTAAAGATTGATTTAATCTAAAAACCAAACCCATTGGTAATGAAATAGAACCATGAAAAGATTTCGTTTCTGAATATCCAAGACGAATACAAATTTATAAACGGTGAATGTTGAATTTTTTTCATAACTTGTTTTCAAGTCTACAAGGGGTAGTTAAATACTGCGCTTCTTGTTACAGACTTTGTTTCTCTAGCTTCAGTGACAAAGAATTTTTTTCAATTTGTTTAGTCTGACACTTCAAGGGTCCAAAAACACTCAATTCTGGAAGACCAACTAAACGTTGCTGCGGACTGATATATACCCAAAGTATTTTTATCTTGAACATCAATCTTTGCCACAGTATCTCGCTGATAGTCCCTTGGCCGATATGAGCCTTAACCGATGTTGTTTCTGGATATCTAAGACGAGTAGAAATTTGTGAATGGTGAATATTGAAATTTGTTCATAACTTTGTTTCAAGTCCACAAGGGGAAGTTAAAAACTGCGTCCCTTTCCCTTCATGCCTCAGGTGTTACTTCTCTAGCTTCAGTGACAAAGAAAAATCTTTTTTTCAATTTGTTTAGTCTGACATTTCAAGGGTCTAAAAACACTCAATTCTGGAAGACCATCCTATGAAAAATTAGAAGAATTTCTATTTTTATTTTAGGGGGTATTCTTTTAATTGAGGTCCTGAGGATCTCCTCATAAAAGCCTCGTACTTCAGTGGGAAGAAGACCTTCTGGATTTTTATTTATAAAAATGAGACATATTATCATCCTATAAAAAATTAGAAGAATCTCTATTTTTATTTTAGGGGGAATTCTTGTAATTGAGGTCCTGAGGATCTCCTCATAGAAGCCTCGTACTTGAGTGGGAAGAAGACCTTCTGGATTTCTATAAAAATGAGACATGTTATGATCCTATGAAAAATTAAAAGAATCTCTATTTTTATTTTAGGGGGAATTCTTGTAATTGAGGTCCTGAGGATCTCCTCATAAAAGCCTCGTACTTCATTGGGAAGAAGACCTTCTGGATTTTTATAAAAATGAGACATGTTTTGATCCTATGAAAAATTAGAAGAATCTCTCTTTTTTTCTTGTAATTGAGGTCCTTAGGATCAGAAGCCTCGTACTTCAGTGGGAAGAGAGTCTTCTGGATTTTTATGAAAATTAGACATGTAATGATCCTATGAAAAATTAGAAGAATCTCTATTTATATTTTAGGGGAAATTCTTGTAATTGAGGTCCTGAAGATCTCCTCATAGAAGCCTCGTATTTCAGTGGGAAGAAGACCTTCTGGATTTTTATGAAAAATGAGACATGTTTTGATAATCTGAAAAATTAGAAGGATCTCTCTTTTTATTTTAGGGGAAATTCTTGTAATTGAGGTCTTGACGATCTCCTCATACTTCAGTGGGACGAAGACCTTCTGGATTTTTATGAAAATTTGACATGTTATGATCCTTTGAAAAATTCGAAAAAATCTCTCTTTTTATTTTATAAGAAGGATGAGAAGTCCTTCGGAGGGGAAAAACTTCCAGGTCTTCTTAGAATTAATTTAGACTTCTATTGGAAATATATCTCCAGCACTTCTATCTTCTGATATTTAAAGAGAATTCATATTTCTTTGAGAATTTTAAGGGCCCTTTTCAGCTAATAGGGTAGTTTGTGTCTGTCTTAATTCACAGCCCTACAGCTGTTATTCACCATTTGATTTAGTTATTATTTAGCCTTCGTCAAAGGTGAAGTTCAAAGAAAACCTATGCAGCAGTAGGCAAAACT